ATTCGGCGGCTGCAAACGAAGGGGAATCCGCAAAGTTTCAAAAATGAACCATGGGAATAACGGGTTTTGAGAAATCGCTCGAATGTGAATGCACGTTCACTAATTTGAATGTTGTTTTACACTAATTCGGCCGGGAAAAGCCATATGAGGTTACAGGACAAAGGTTAAAACTTTTCTTGGCATAATCAAGATTAACAAAGTGGTTAGGTTTACCATTTGCACTTGTTTTAAGTTTAGTTTCATTTTGCATGTTTTCATTTTACAAATTTAATGGATTATTTGTCACTTACTTTTACATTTTTGTTTTCCTGGCGTTGTTATACTTGAAACATAATTTTACATCTTTAGGTTTTCCATTTTATGAATTACGTTAAGTTCATTTTATTCTTTAAGAATCTTGACTTAATGACCAATTTACAAGAATCTAAAATTTGCATTAGGTACGCAAAAACAATAAAAATTCAAGGTCATTTGCTATACACCAACCTTTGTACGTGAATATTAAAACATAAGAATTAAATTTTACACTAACATGAAAATGATACAACGAAGTTCATTCTTCAACTTGTAATAAAACACTTTTCTGTGAGTCTTTCTCTCACATATAGTTTACCTACATTCGACAGTTCTACTTTATATTGCCCGTTCAAATACATTTTAATATTATTATATTATTTCCTTTTATGTACAGGTACATTGTTTTGTTGTTGACGTATATCGTTTTGTTCTGATTTCTAGTTATATAAATAATTTATATTTAACATGTTAGACATTTGATAAGCTTTAACTCTTGTTTTTGCTCTTTGGTTTCTTTTGTTAGCACATATAATAATTTACTTTCACGGTGCACAGATTTTTGCATTGTTCTTACAAGGCTACATAACTGTCAATCCAAACTCAAAAACCCTAATGCAGTAGCAATGCTGCAGGGTAAATTACCCCCTTTTTATCTTTACATGTGCAGGCTTATTCTTGCTTCCCAACTTCAGCGTACAACGGTGACAAGTTTTAATGACAGCGGGCTTTAGAAAACCATAACCCCTTTTTTCTCCATGGATGAGCGAGATAATACACCGGGCAGATGATTGGTCAAGCTTATCATCAAACATGTAGTTACGTGTGTGCATAGTGTGTGTGAACTACGTGTGCGGAACGTTAATTTTGTGTACATGTATACCTTGAGACTACGCCATACTACAAAGGAGTACGACACGGTTCAAGTAGGCAAAGACCTAGTGTACCGAATTCGACAACGAATTTCACTTTCATGTGATGAGATGATCACACTGTACAGCTGGACCCACTAGAGTACCTCTGTTATGACGATTGCTGAAACTTGGGTAGCGTTCCCACAACTGAATATAGCAGCCATTTTGTTCGAGTTACTTTTTAATCTTCAGTACGACGACGACTTTATTATTATCAATATGAATAAGCATGGACCGAAAATAACGCGGGCCTACGTGTACATGGCTGTGTCATGTATGACAGCGTGTTACTATCCCCGAAAATTACAATCACACTGATATTGTAATACATGTTGTTGTATTCAAAAATGTGAAAAAAGCTGTACACTTTGAGCTGTTTAAAACTTTTCTACACTTAGTCATATGATTTGTGTTTTTGCATTCGTACGACAACACCGTGCGTAGAACATGACATCCGAGTCGGTAGTTTACAGGTATATGAATACCTTAACCCATGCTTGAACTGTAAAACGATACCGGATCGCCCATGAACAAGAGAAACACGCGTGCACTCACCTGTCTTACTGCCACAGTAATCCAGTCCTCAAGATTCTTTGATGAAATTTGATCAAATAATATGCCTCAACCTGATCCCAGGGAAAGAGCTGTCCTCACGAGCAATACGTACCGAGCGATTCCCTGTCGTCAACTCCACTCGTGAACACTACATGTAAGTCACAGCGTAGCCTCTGCGAACTCGGCACGTTTAAAATCACCGTACGTACATGCCAGCCCCTTGTGCTGGACAAGATGGGACATGTTGCTCACTTGTTTACGTCCGTCGATAATTCAGTGCCGTCACGTCACGGACTGGCTTTTGTCGAGTACACTACAAAGGCCTTCGTAATGGCCCACACTACCACTTCGGATGTATTGGGCTGTACCATTTTCATACCGTAGGTAGGTTCCCACGTTGTTGAATTCTCTTCATAGCTGTGTACGAGTATACATGTCACTATTTGTATACGTATCACTTATTTGTATAGGCTACTTTGAGTGTTTATTCATCATACATTTACTTCAATGGAAACATTTGCCTCAAATTGATTGGTATGCCTTTAAAAACCCAAGTACATGTGCATACTCTTGAACGTAAATGAGAACAGAAATCTTTCCTTTTTATTCACACAGCACGCTCCATTCCATCCTACTATTGAAGTCATTCTTTATAACAGATAAAATACGGTACGCAGAGAAAGGACTGAATCAGAAGAATATTTAAATTATCAAAAGTAGGTGCCTCGCTTATTGAACACCCCTCTTAGATATAGTACTGGCCGGCTCCTCAAATTATGTTAATAAGGCTAAATTCCAGTCAAGTCCTGCGTTCTTATTGGTCGATAGTAATATCAACTATATTGGCCCTAGGCACTACAATCGATCGACGGTTAAAAGCATACCTTTCCACCACTCTGTGCGGCTCTGGAAGGTCCGTGATTTTTTCGCCTGGTACAACGTTTCTGTTTCATGCATCTGTGCTGCAAGGAATAATACTTCCCAAGAGTGCATTTCTCCTTTGTGGCCGACGTGTTTCTACAGAACTTGTTCGTTGTCGACCAATAGTTGTAGGTTGCATTGATGGTTCTTCAATACCTGAAGGGCACGGTCATATGCTTATTCTAGATAGTTACTATGAGAATCTTTAAGCCTGTCATCTTGAGAAACAAGAGATGCTGGAACTTCTTGGGAGGGAGCTTTTTACTGTCTTGAAAAAAAAATGAGTTTCAAACATGTTTTCTCTTGGTCTGGATTCAAGCCCCTTCCTTGAACTCCTTATGTCCCAATTTGTTCGTCCTCAAGTCTTTCCACCAGGTATGAACTTCGTCACTGGAAAGCCCGATATACCTTGCAACGAGTAGACTTGAGATCAAGCCACGTATTAAAAGGGATATTAATGCAAGATATAAAATAAACTGGCACCTACCAATCGAACTCTTCACTAATAAATTCATAATTATGCAAGTATGCACACAAATTACCTCCGCGGCAAGGGCCATTAAATATATACAGGGCTGCAATTTTGATCATTTTCTCTCAGGTTCCCTGGCTTTGTTTTTCTTCAGAAAATCCCATGAAATTGTTTTTGCTCCCATTTTCTAATCTAAGCAGGATTTCCCCTGCTTAATTTCGTCCGCACAGCAGGGGTTACGATTGTAAAGTCTTTGTACAGAGCACTACAAATCCCGCTTAGATTAGAAAATAATAGCAAAAATGATTTAATAGGGTTTTCTGAAGACAAAAACTGAACAAAGCCACGGAAAACATGTGAGAAAATGACCAAAATCGCAACCTTGTATACTGTTAATGAGTCTTGCCGCCAAGGTAAGTTATGCACATGCGTGCGTAACTATGAATTTATTCTATTACTATTATTGTTATTTATTATTATTAGGTCTACTATAGACATCCCTTTATATAGATGGATGAGTCTGTTATGTGGCGTGAGCTGCTGTTGGCGCAATTCGCTGAAATGTATGAAAATGCTGTACAGTTGTTGCATGCACCCATCCAGAATCAGGTTGAACAAGTCTCAGGTGGGCACAATGGGGTCGCCGTGGGCTGATGTGCACCGAATCCCCGGCACTGAACAACCCCCGGATCACGCGTCGTACCGTATGGGCAGAATCAATGTGGCACGCTAGATGGAATGCAGGCAACGGTGAACGAACGGGCTCAGCACTAATCATAAAACGACGCAGCATGCTAACTCAGTGGACGACAAACACAACCGACTAACGACTTATTTCAAGTCTACGTGACGAGGGTTACAAAATGCATTTTAATTGAATCCCATTTAATTTCTGCTTCGGTACATTGGCCTATCTCTGGCTGTCTCGCAAGCGGAGGAAGCAAGATTTTTCAGGGTAGAAGGATTATCACCATACTGACGCATTTGCAGGGGTTGATGTCGCCGTGTATGGGGGAAATTCCACCATTTGACTGTGGAAGGAGAACGGACCTGTCCGATGGTGAGGGGCGACCCAAAGCGAATTCTTCCTAACTACATTTTCTGCCACCTGCCTACCCTGTAGAGCTTGGAACACGTGTGGTACAGTTTGCGACGAATAAAAAGGAGATCCTTCAATGTGGGCAAGGTGGCCCTAATCCCGACTGTTCTTCAGGAGGCTCAACACCCTGAGGTGAGGCTGGGGACTATGACTTTTTACACTCGTTCAAACCGAGGCGTGGTCGATGTAGCCAATGAGGCTATGGTGGAAGGGGTTTTCACAGGAAAAGGCGTATCTTTAGTTTGCTTATCCTTGAATTTTCCTTTCCTGGTAGACATATCGATGCCCAATGATGGTAGACATATCGAAGTGACCAGTATATAATGTTGGTAGCTGAAAGTAGACAAAACACGAGCAAATAAAACCGTACGGTGATTAGGAAACAGACACATGCTGTTGTGGATTCTTCTGGGGGTAATGCCATGGATGCAAGGAATAATTTGCATTTTGAAGAATAAATGAAGGGAATCAACCATTTCTTCACACCGTATTACTAGGGAAAATGATTAACAGCGAATCTTGATGACGAGAATGAAACACAAACGTATGCACTTACCATGATTATAAAAGTCCATAGATACGAGAAAAATGGGCTCAGTCAAGAATTGCCCTAATCCCAAACAAAAGTTCTCACAAATTGTTGTTACGGTCAATTCTTGTTGATTTCATTTGTTTAACCCATTTGTACTGAACAGGCTCTAGAAAAACGTTTGGCCATAAAGGAATATAAGACCCTTATCCGGACCTGATGTAGTTGGCAGTTCTGTTGTCTGTGGTAATTTGGTGGATGTTCCTGCAACGATTTTATAAAAATAAAAGCTTTCGCGTAACAGGAATAATTATAAAATGCAGCATTTAAAATATTGATTAAAAGTAGGGTATCTGGGTAAACGATGATGCCCAATGATGGTAGACATATCGAAGTGACCAGTATATAATGTTGGTAGCTTAAAGTAGACAAAACACGAGCAAATAAAACCGTACGGTGATTAGGAAACAGACACATGCTGTTGTGGATTCTTCTGGGGGTAATGCCATGGATGCAAGGAATAATTTGCATTTTGAAGAATAAATGAAGGGAATCAACCATTTCTTCACACCGTATTACTAGGGAAAATGATTAACAGCGAATATTGATGACGAGAATGAAACACAAACGTATGCACTTACCATGATTATAAAAGTCCATAGAGACGAGAAAAATGGGCTCAATCGAAATCAACGATTGCCCTAATCCCAAAAAAACTTCTCAAAAATTGTTGTTACGGTCAATTCTTGTTGATTTCATTTGTTTACTTCATTTGTACTGAACAGGCTCTAGAAAAACGTTTGGCCATAAAGAAATACAATACGCTTATCCAGACCTGATGTAGTTGGCAGTTCTGTCGTCTGTGGTAATTTGGTCGATGTTCCTGCAATGATTTAATAAAAAAAAGCTTTTGCGTAACAGGAATAACTGTGAAATACAGCATTTAAAATATTAAATGTCTCACTCGGTGATGATAAAAAAATCACATACGAAAACACAAGACAAACTTTAATTTTGAACAATTGATTAAAAGTAGGTTATCTGGGTAAAGAATGATGCCAAAGGAATATTTTTGCCACAGTTTGCTGAAATGCAAGTGACTGGGCCTGAGACGGGGTGACCTGTACATACAGACGTATATAGCTACCTAACACTGGATAGTTGATGGAATTCATCTCCCCGATAAAAGTATTAGTGTAAGTAAGTCCAAACTGTGGAAGTTAAGGAGAAACGGTTCAAAAAGTTGACATTCGTTGAGAAAAAATGGGCTCAAACAATGATTACCCTCATCCGAAACAAAAGTCCTCACAAATTGTTGTTACGATCAATTCTTGTTGATTTCATTTGTTTACTCCATTTATACTAAACAGACTCTAGAAAAACGTTTGGCCATAAAGGAATACAAGACGCTTATCCGGACCTGATGTAGTTGGCAGTTCTGTTGTCTTTGGCAATGTGGTCGATGTTCCTGCAATGATTTTATGAATTTAAAGCTTTCGTGTAAGATGAATAATTGTGAAACACAGCTTTTAAAATATCATTTGTCTCACTCGGTGATGATAAAAAAATCACATACGAAAACAA